CGTCGACGTACTCGTCGTAGTACTACTACTAGTAGTCTAGTAGTGGTAGCCGTACTCGATTACGTAACGTACCGACTCCACTGTATTCTCTCTTCTCTCTCTCTCTCTCTCTCTCTCTCTCTCTCTCTCTCTCTCGGGATTTATCATGTCTGACATTTGAGGCCCATAATCCAAAGGTCCATCCCCATGATCTCTCTCTCAAAGGTAAAATGTGTAACAGCTGCGTGAATTGCCTGTTGATATACGTTGAGGTTTCAGGCGATGACAAAAATTGCACTACTATCCCCAATTCCTCAAATTATTTACCAATTTTGTGGGGCACCTGCAAAGACTAATTTACCCCTGTTGTAAATTCATTTATACTGTGATTTACCAAGGTGGGCAAAGGTCCGAGGCATAAAAATATCAGTTGCTTATTCTTGTGAGTAATTTGGACCATCAAGTTGTTCTAGATGGATGTCAAAAAGAAGGAACAGATGGGGGTTACTTTTCTTTATTCCTTGCTTTGCCTTATCCTCATTGTTGAGTATCTATACCTGAGTTTGATAGAGAAAATGCTTAAAGTTCTCTTCCCAGGGAGGCAGACCTTAAAAGATTTTGAGTAATTTTTTTTCCATTATGGAACCATTGAAATTGGTTTAAAGATTGAGATAAAGAAGGCCTCTTTTGGTTTTATAGTTTTGGGAAATGTACAATGAGACCATTATATCTTAAATACTAGGTCATAGTTATAGTTGTTGGATGTGAAAATGCGATGTTGACGGTGTTGTTGATTAGAAAGTTCAAAGAAACTTTCTCAAAAGCTTGTGATACACTATAAGTTGTAGGTTAGAAGTGATTGTGACTTTTTTTTTTTTTTTTTTCGAGTTTTTAATTATTATTTATTATTATTATTATTATTATTTTATTTTAGATGTTAGGTTTATTATTATTTTTGTTATGTATTCTTTGTAGAGATTTAAGGGTTAGAATAGGAAATTTTCTAGTGGAGTTAGGATATTTATTTTAGTTTTTATATGCAGGATGTATTTTTTATTTTGTAGAGTTTGAGATTATGGGTTGATAAGCATTAAGAAATGACAAATAAGAAGAGATTTGGAAGTGCGTAGAGATGGGAAGGGGCTTCCTAAATTTATGGGATTCGAAGTGATAAGAAAACGTTGAGGTTGGGGGAGAGTATTTTTGGGTTTTTTTTAGTTGTAATTAAGGTAGAGGTATCCTTTCTTTACAAATAGATGGAATTGAGTGAAGAAAGAATTTTTTATATTGTGAAAAGTTCTTTTGGGGTGGATTTTGTTATATTTAGTGAGATGTAAAACGTGACAGAAGTCCGTGTTGAAATCCCAACAAGTCTGTTGGGGCACAAGATACACAGAACAGAGTGGCATTCAACTTTCAATACCGAGAAGACATTGTACAAGGTCGTCGTAGTAGCACACCCTATATCTTGACGATGCGCCTATAAATCTCATTGACAACTTAAAAAACTATTTAATTATTTTAAAAAACAGATTGGGACTTGTCATCCCTATTGAATTACCAAAAAAACAATTACCATAAATGAGTGTTTTGAAAATTTTGTAGGTCTTACTTTTGAAAGAAAAAAAAAGGTTTTGGGTAAACTCACATGATGAAGTCCTTTTCTTTTTTTTTGAGAACAAAAAAAAGAAAAAGCGAGTGCCTACCAGTATATGTTGATTTTGGAGTGGCGATATCTTGTGGGGCTGCTGCATATAAAAACAACTCCAATCTCGCCAAGAAAAAAAATACAATTTGGGTGCAAAGACCTTCATATCAGTAATTTATCCAATCTCACAATTTTGCTGAAATATACATTTTGGCAAAATTACCTATAAAGCAGCCATTTCAACCTAAACAGTTTTGGATCTCAAAAAATTAAAGAGCAATCCTAAAATAGTCTCAACATGAAAAGAAAATTAAAATTCAAACCCTTAATATGGTCAGACATGTGACCCATTTTTTTGTTTTTGCCCTACTTTTATTTTTTGGGTGTTAAAACTGTCTTGAAACATATCTTGGTCCATCTTATAATGTATTCTATCGACTGCTACGTCAATTATCTACACTAATCTTTGAAAATACGGATTAGTAGGGTAGATCGTCTATCTCATATGTCTACGTTGGATCATTGAATTGCCTAACCGGATTGGTCTACATTAGTGATACGATACGAACCCATTTGCTAAATAAAACCATTTATTTCATAATATTTTTATATAAGATTGTCTATGAAGAGACAATTTATCTTTTGTATATAAAGGTGACAATCATTCTCACTCAGTAAACATCAAATTGGATGGTTTGGGGTGAGTCACAAAATCTAAAAATTTTATTTGGAAGTTTGTATCTATTCAATGACACTCTCATAACCACTCATTTTGAAATTTAAGTGACAAGAACGTTTGTGAGCTTTATGTAGAGAAGAAAAATGGTCTTCTTTTGGGTGTGGTTTGTATAAGCTTTATACTCTAAACAATCAAAGTAAGGTACACCTTCAAATAGCGTCGAAAGATGTTGTTTCAATAATGAAAAACTTTGTGATGGTTTGAAAATTTATTTTCATTTCTAATTATAAAGTTTAAAGCTTAAAAAATAGTATAGATCGAGCAGATTTATGAGTACTTGAAAATCTTAAAATTTGACAATCTAAAAAATACATTATAAGATGCACTATTCCCAACAATAGAAATCCATTTTTTTCTCATGGTCAAACATGTTGAGGTCGAGATGAACGACTTGAAAAATTTAGCGCATTGGTACCGTCATCCTTATATAAACCTTTACTTTTTTAACCCCACCCAACGTGTTTGCACCCTACAAAACTGGTTTGATGCCAACCAATTTCGAATGCTAATTTGTAACCCCCAATTCGGATCTTTAGATCGTCAGTGATCCACAACTAGTCTATTAAATATTGTGGAACCGCAGCCACACCAAAACCCCAGCCTCTAGATAATACAATCACCGCTGACGCATCGCCCCACCATGTCCATAGAAAAATCACGGAAAACCTGCTAGAATCTTCTAGTCTCACCCCTGTAACAAAAATACAGCTGGAAGCTCACGCATGCAACAATCCATATTCCATTCTTCATTGAAAAATATATTACCTTTTCCATTTTATTTTTGGGTAGAAATTTTGGTTTTCAAAGTATTCTATGCTCCCGTGAGAGTATACGCTGTATATTTACTCCCTCGGGCGAAAGATTGACTCGAGAAAAAAATCTCATCTAAAACTTTTCGAAACCACCGAATACTAGGTTATATCCAAAAGAACCAAAAGAAAGTTAAATTTTGAATATTTAAACACTTAGATTTCACCCTACATAAATTTGGCACGTTCTATTCAAATTCAGGGCATTGTTTTATCTGAGTGTCAAATAGAATTACAATTTGAAATTTATTCTTTTCTTGCATATAGCATATGGGTTGAATTTTTCATCTCAAAATTTGGGGTCCTGGTTTTGCCGGAGGGAGTAAATAGACAGTGCACTCCCTCAGGAGCATGAAAACTTCTGGGGATTCAACCTACGCGGTTCTCAGACGATACCGCCACCTGCTATCTTCTGTATTTAAGGCCCAAGACCCACCAATCAACAGTCCAAACGCTGAGAAGAAGAGAGCAAGGATCCCAAGCCCGTCGAAATTTCAGCTGATTTCGTTTTAGAAATCCAAGAGGCCATCACCCAAAACGCTGAGAAGGAGAAGGAGAAGGAAGAAAGGACCCCAACACCGAAAATCTCAGTTGATTTCGTTTCGGAAGCCCCAAGGCCCATCATCCAAACAAAGAGAAGAAGAAAGCAAGGAGATCACAACCCCAAACCCACCGAAATTTCAGTTGATTTCGTTTCAAAAGCCCATAACCCAAGGACCCAACAAAGAAGATCCACCCCCTGGCCTTGTATAACTCAGCCCCCTAAACCTCCGAAAAAATTTCAGTTAATTTCGTTTGTCCACAGGAATATCGGTTGATTTCGTTTTAGCATCCCTTGGCCTTCCGAAACCCAACGAAATTTCAGTAGATTTCATTTCGGGAGGAGAAGAGAGATGTGCCTGGTGTTTGTGTGCGATGAGGAGGAGCGCGTAGTGGGCAGGTATGCGGCCCCTGGGAATTGCCCTTACTGTGGGGGGGCAGTTCAGACCATTGACGTAGAGAGCTCTTGGAGATTTTGCTTTTTGCCCCTCAGTTTCAATATGAAACGTAGGTTTTTATGCACCATTTGTGGTAGGAAGCTTGTGTCAAATTACTAATCTTCTTCTTCTTTTTTTTTTTTTTTGTTGTGTGGGTTGTCAATTATAGATGGTAATTTCTTTTTAAGTGGTTTAAAGTTGTTTATTTTTTTTTTTTTGGGGGCATGGTTTGTTTTTCATATATTTTGTTGAAAGTGGAGAGAGGAGAAAGACTGATCCCTCTTGTATGTTTGTCTGTTTTTAATGTATTTTTTTCATGTAATCTATGAAATGTATATTAATCTTTTGGTTATGATAGAGGAGAAAGAGTGACCCCTCTCATAAATTTCTCTCTATTTTAATGCAGTTTTTTAACGTATTTTTTTTATGTAATACTCTGAGATGTGAATTAATCTATCGACTTCTCTCTCTTTAGTTCTTCTTGGCATAAACAATAATAAATAATGTAATTGAAATTTATTGACATGGGTTTTTTGAGAAACAGTGACCATTTATTGCATATCAAGTAACAGTTTCATAGATTCATATGCCAATCGGGCCCATACAACAAACCACAAAATAAAAGAAAAAAAACTAAAATTACATAAAAAAAAAACTACTTAGACCAGCAATCTATACGGCAATGAAACCTTTAGCAGCAACTCCATCTTTTGTGAGACCATCCGCCTCCATACTGCACTCTCTATACGCATGTATCTAAGATACTACCATTTCCAGAAAGTTCAAGACGCCTCCCGAACCAATTGATGTAGAGACCATGGATAATCTCTTCCTTGTTCATCCATTTAATGACATTCATCTTCCACTATAATAGGCTTATTGAATATTTTTGCTAGCTTAATACCTTGAGGCAAAGCTCTCAACAATGCTTCATTCACAGTTAGTTTGCCCACATACCCATAACATTTCAGCAATACATTACCCAAGCAATCTCTAATAATACCACCTATTTCAGAAGAACCTGGATTCCCCGTCGAGTACCATCAAAGTTTAATTTAATCCAACGCTCTTTTTGTTCAATGTCTTTTCCTTCATAAGTTTATGAAGATCATACTTAAGATCCAGGCTGGTTACCCTCCACCTAGCCATTCTGCCACAGATATCTGCATTTTCTCATTTAATTCAATGTTGGACTTACCAATATTTTCGAAAACTCTTCTCTTCAGTTCTTTCCATAGCTCTCATACTACTATAGCTTTAACAACTTTCTAAGTAAACTTTCCTTTCTTTCCAACACCTCCAATCTTACAATGAGCATATTCATGTTCAGCTTGTGTGGGAATTACTACTTGTAATCCCACCCATCCTAAACACCAACGCCAAACTGATTTAGCATAACAACAATTTAGAAATAGATGGTCAATAGTTTCCTCATCACATCTATGCAAAATATAAATATTCTATTTGGCAGTATTTTACCACGCTTCTTCAACATATCACCTGTTAATAGTTTTTTCAGATGCAATGACCACATGAAATCTTTGATTTAGGCCTTTGCCATATTTTCGCCGCATCTACATCTTTCCACCTATTTCTATCATAGTACAACAATTTAATTCGCCATTTTTACTTGGCTCCCTCACAATTCTGTTCTTCACCTCAGAAAAATAAAAGTAATGTTGTAACATGGCCAGCCATTGGAGATATTCATCTGTCACATAACTATCCACTCTTCGATAAGAACATCTAACATGCCAATTTGCATTAAATCCCTTTCACCATTTCACTAACCATCTTAATCTTACTCTTAGAAGTAACTTTAGCAAATAAATGAGGAAATTTGACTTTTAAGGCATATCTCCAGTCCAGTGTTGCTGCCAAAAACGCACATTTTCACCATTTCCCACCACCATTCTTGAATATCTTATGAAAAATATCTATGGGCTACAGTCCCCTTCCACTCTATTGAAATCTCTTTCTTGTTATTCCCTTTTTCCGCAAGATCATATTCCTTTCTACCCATGCTTTTCTGCCAGAATAGACCTCCATAATTGGTCTTTTTCTGTCGCACATCTCTACCACCACTTCGCCAATAATGCACCATTCATCAATCTTAACCTCTTAACTCCCATATTCCCCATCACAAACAGGAGTGCAAACATTATCCCATTTTACAAGATTAACGCACTTCTTATCTTCATTCTCACCCCACAAAAATTTCCTCATAATGCTTTCCAACATTACTACGTAATTTGAAGAGAGAGATAATACCCAAGCAAATATGTCAATGCTGCTTTTATCAATGTCAATCTACCTCTTAAAGAGAGACTTAAACTTTCAAGAATCAAGTTTATATTGTATCCTTTGAATCCAAGGATCCCATGATGCTTAAGGTCTAGCCGTTGCAGTCAGCGGCAGATCTAAATATTTAATTGGGAGATTGCCAATGCCACAGTCTTCTGGCTCAGCCACCCCAATAATATGCATCTTTCGTAAATTCACTTTTTACCCTGTCAAAACCTCTTCGAAGTTCTAACCTCCTATTCACAAGCCCTACAGAAAATTAGCCTATCGTCAACATATTGCAAATGAAACACTATTATTGTCCTATTATTTTTAACTATAAATCCTTTCAACCCACCTATTTCGACCGTGTAATTGAGCATTACACTGAAAATCTCAGCCATAATTGTGAATAAGAAAGGAAACAAAAGATCTTCTCATCTTATTCCCTGGGAAACCTTAAAAAAACATTTGGGTTTACTTTTAATAAAAATCGAAAAATGTGTAGTCTTCAAACATCCTTTAATCCACATATGCCATCTCCCATGGCTTTCATGGTTTGCAACGTAATTTTTTATTCCACTTTGCTTTTTTAAAGTCAACATTACCTTTTTTAGCATATAGTATACTATCCGTTATTTGATGACCTTGGACGATTAAGAGTCCTTCACTACCATTGGCAAAACCCCTTTTAGCCTTCCAACGAGACATTAAGCAAGACAACAAAGTAATGAGTCTAATGTCACTCCAAGCTTTCAATAACCCCATTTATTTTAGAATAAGAGCGATAAAAGTAAAATTAAGACTCATATTTACAAGCAACCCCTCTATGGTAAAATTCATCCATCATTCTTATAGCTTCACTCTTCACATTATCCCATAAATCAGAAAAAAACCTCTCTTAACTTCATTGTTGAGAAACCTCTCTTTCTCTAATTGTTTGAAATGGGAAATTCCATTTTCCTCTCTTAACTTCATTGTTGAGAAACCTCTCTTTCTCTGATTGTTTAAAGTGGGAAATTCCCATTTTTCGATGACAAATTAGATGTGACTTAGGATGTTCCATTTTTCTATGACAAGTGAGATATGGTTTTGGTGTTCCAATAGTAATGTCATTGTTGGGAAACCTCTGTCTCTTGCCCCTTGAAACCACAAAGGGTTTTCCCTTGGGCCATGCCCAAAACAATGACATTCTATAATGGACCCGGTTTCTGTGCGGCCAAGCTTCATATATAGAAATGTGAGCTTATTTAGAAATCTATTTTTAATATGAATTTTTGGATTTAATTTTTTATGACATGTAATCTCTATCATGGAGATCATAAATATGAAAAAAATAGTAAATTTTAAAAAACTAAAAATAATAATATTAATAAGAAAAAATTAGTAAATTTTAAAAAAGTAAAAATAATAATACTAATAAAAGACATTTAAGCCGTTAATTTTTATTGTTTTTAGATGAAATACCTACTTGCATCCGATACGATAGATACGATAGATGGTTTTACACTTTCTTTTTTGACCCTATAGTAATGCGGTCCGGCCCGCATGAAACAATTTTCTTCTGATGATGACTCTTAAACGTGACAAAGGCTAAATTGATGAGGACTAAACTATTGCATTAGAAGTAAAAATAGGAATTCAAGAGATTTATATTTCTATTTTTTAAGAAATTAATTAGAGACCGTTTTTTTTTTTGTACAATGAAATCTGATGTATTAAAATGTATCAAAGCTTTCGAGAAAATTTACGTCGGATTTTTTTTGAGCTCTAGTAAATAATTGTCACCCATAATGAATGTATCATTTAGTCTCATCATGTACATTTCCTGCTCTTAACACTATTTAAAAGAAGTTATCAACTGATGAAAGAGTATTTAATTTCCTTGTTTTATTAATCAACACCTCAAAGAAATGGACTTTCCATCAAGGACACTCGACCAGGTCTCTGACGAAATATTGAAAAAAATAAGAAATAAAAAAATTGAAGGTTATTGTTTGTAAAAAAAAAAGGGTCTTTTCTGCTGTTAAAATATAATAAAAATTAAAGGTTTAACCCGTAAAACTAATAATTTTCAATAACAAAGTGGAGGAACAGCAGTGCCATAACAAGATGAGGAAGCCTCTATCTCTAGGACTAAGGCCTCTCCCTCTGTAGAACTAAGGCCTCAATCTCTAGGACTAAGGCCTCTCCCTCTCTAGAACTAAGGCTTCTCTCTCAAGAACTACGGCCTCTCTGTGTGTCATTCAAGTGATGAGTCCACCCTCGAAACTGCGCGAGAAAAGGCAAGTATGTCATGTCTAGTGGGGTTTGGGCTTTTGCATGGCCTCCTATCAAGGCTTTTCCTCCTCCCATGATTTCTCCTTCTCTCTTTGTTTCTCTCTCTAAAACCTCTGCTTTCGGTGTAGAATCCTTGCTTCCCTTTGCTCCCTCCCGCTCTCTCTCTCTCTTTCATCGATTCCATCCTCTCCCGCTTGAGCCTCCAAGGCAGCTTCTTTCTCTCTCTTCAGTTACTGCTCTCGATCTCTCTCACCCTCTCTCTAAAACTCGAGAATCCTCTGCATCTCTCTCTCTAGACATTGAACAGGATTATCTTTCATGCATGACTGACGATTAAAATTTAGAGGGAAATTTACGTACGGACCAGTTTTTTTACCATATTATAACGGTATGACTAAAAAATAATCAGCTATTTGGGATGACGGATTCACCATTTTTTTATTTTTTATTAAGTTTAAAACATCGGGCTGCTTTATTTACTCCCTTCAAAATTTGCTCTTCTTTCTCTCTCTTCTCTCCTCATCTCTCGGTCCTCTCTCTACTTCAATCTCTCCTATCTCTGGCCC